GATGTCTTTTGTTCTTGTGTGGATTCAGTTTGAGCTTGGTCAGCTTGGAATCTTTGCGAGTTCCTTCGTTGATTCCTTGGACTGGTTGCTCCAGGGTGTGTCTGTCGTTTTCCCTTGGAGGTTCCATTGGATTCCCACGAGCCTTTTCCTCTTGAGTTTCCAAATGAGTTTGGCTGATTCCACGATCTGTCCCATTGATTTTCATGAGGTCTGAATTGGTCCCAAGATTTTTCCCAGTGACGTCCAGGTGAGTGCGGCCATCTTTTGTTTGCCATAGGCTTTCTGTGCCAAGTCTCGCAACTGTTGAGCATTCATTGTTCGCGGACATGCGAGAACGCCAAGATGGTGGTTTACTCCAGGATGGAGGTTTCTCAGGAAGAGAGTTTTGAAGTTTAGATCATTTTCCATGTTCGGTTCGTTGCGAGTTCCGAAGTGTGCTCGTCTGAGTCGGCTGTAGTAGGCTTGAGGAGATTCATGACGTCCTTGTCTCGTCTCCAGGGCAGCCACTAGTCCTTGTTCTGACTCAGGGTCAGCGAATTCTTTAATGAGGGCCTCTCTGAGGAGGTGGTAGTCAGCCTGCCATGCGATGATCTGTGACTGGCTGGAGCAAGTTCTTTTAGCTTCATCGTGAGGTAAGATTCTTCAGAGGGAGTCGGTGAATGTTTCAGCACTGCCCCCTCCCCCTTTTTCTCATGTGTCAGTCGAGGAACAGGTGACCCGGTCCTGCTTGGCAGGGGTGAGACTAGTGCCCGTCGTGTCCTTGTAGGCTCAGGGCGCAGCTCATAGGCATGTCTGAGTTCCTCTCTGATGCTGTCGGACTTCTCTTTGATGTAGTCCAGCTGTTGTGTTAGGCGACTGATCTCATTTCTTGACTCATCCAGGTGAGTTTCAAGGCCTTTAATTCGGCTGTTCTTGTCTCTGAAGTCGACCTTTGCCTTTTCCAGGAGCTGTTCGGCATATTGTAGCTTGTTGGAGAGATCAGCGTAGTCAGCCTTGCCTCGTTCCATTTCTTGGGTAGCAGCTGCTAGGGTCTCTTTTAGCCTAGTGATCTCCTCCTTGGTGCCTTGTTCCACTCCATCAGGCCCTTCCTGTCGTTCCTGAGCCTCCAATTCTAGCTGCTCGACGCGTCGTTGTGTGCGTGTTAGCTCCTGCTGGAGATGGGCGGCATGCCTGTCGCTCAGCTTGAGGGTGGCGATGAGTGTGTGGCTTAAGGAGCCGGTGATCTTTACTAATTCTTTGTGACTGTAGCTCTGACGTGGGTCTTGTTTCATGAGGTTTGCTATGTTGTCATCCAGCTGGTCCTGTGTCTGATGCCTCAGTGTTTCAGCGGCCTTAGGTAGGAGGCTGTCTGTTGCAACACTTAGCCATGTCTTGAGGTCTTCCCAGTGGTCAATAGAGTCTGTTTTGCAAGACATGTTTTGGCACGGTGAGGGAGATCTAGAACCTAGACTGACACAGACCTTGAAGAAGAGAAGAGAAAACAAAACAAAACAAAACAAAACAAACAAGGCAAAACAGGGGTGTAAGTGTGCAATGTCTCGTGTGGTTTGATAGTGAGTGTGTGAGGGACAGGTGAGTGTAGTTCTCGGTGACTGTGATTCTCTGGTGGGCATGCTCCTAATTTGTAGTCTCTGTGGGGAAAATTAGTAAGCACACACAGGTAGCACAGCTAGAGAACGGAAGGAGGAAAGAAAAATAACAAACAGAGCAAAGAACAGGATAGTAATTGACTGCTTCCAATTTTCCTGTAAGATAAATTTTTTCTTTTTTTTTTCTTTTGTAAGGAAAAGAAGTTAATGGTAAGATGAGAGGGAAGGATAAAACAACAAAATACCCTTTTCTGGTAGCAGAATGAGGATAATTAAATTATCTTCTCTTTTCCCTTTTGGTTAAGTTTGATTTAGAAGGATGCTTCTTAAACCGGCATTTGGAAATGGGGATTTCTAAATACCAGGGCTGTGGTTGCTATTCAAATTCCTTCGGGTGAAGAGAAAATAATAACAATGACAGTATTGGTTTCTTAGCTGTTAAGATTGACACTGTCCACAAATTAGATGTTCCTAGATGCTTGTTCAAATTTTGGCGGATGCCTGTCAGTCTTCTTAGCTGGGTAGGGTTTCGCAAGAGAGTGAAAGGTAAATGGAAGACGATTTTGAAACGGCGTTCTCAAGTTTCACAAAATACTTGTTCACTTTCTAAAAATTTCTGCTTTGTGATTTTCACAGGCAAAATCCTTGCAAACAACCGCAGTAGTCAACTCAGAAGGAAACAGCTGAGAGAGAGAAGCAGAAGAAGGAGAGAGAGAAGTTTTGCTGAGTGAATTAAATAACTGAAAGGGAGAGGAAATAAGGCCACTTGCAAATTAAATTAGAATTTCAGGTTAGAAATGGTATTTCCTGGTTAAAATTTAATGATGTTATCATAAACATTGATGAGAGTAATTAAAAATTATGATTAATCAATCAATATCTTGAAGCAGGATAACCCAAACCCTAATGAGCTAACCATGAAATAAAAATTTTATTGCATTATTGACAGTTAAGGATTAAAATCTTTGTTTGGCATTTAAAATTAGCAAAGCAATTATAGTTGAACTGATCAGCAAATATTATGACAATATGGAAGCAGGACCCGTAATTAATTATTAAATGAAATTAAAAATTCCAAATATGTAATTAATTATGAAATTAACTTAATTTAAAATCCCTACGGATAAACCAACAATATCCACTGGTGTCATTATTAACAAATAATAAGAGCAATTTCTAATTAAATTAATCAGTAGATATTGTTGCTATGTGGAAGCTGCAACTGTAATTAATTTGTAAAAACTGTAAAAAATTTCAAATCTATAGTTAATTACGAAGTTAAATTAACGATTTCAAATCCTTAAGTATAGCAAATTAATAACATCTATTGATTTCCTAAAATTATTACAGCAGTTATAGCTGAATTAATCACAACGTAGCATTAAAGTAATGGGGCTGAGGACCAGAATTAAATTTTAAAACAAAGACAACAACAGCTTTTAAGCAAGGGAGAACCTTAAATAACGCGATTAAAACTCTAACTATGATTGCGTACACAAGGTTATTACGTTCGCATTTGGGAGTGTTCCTTTTCAATGGGAGGAAAAGAGGAGAGAGAGGTAGGATGAAATCAGTATGAAAGCGAAAGACAAATCAGATGTAACTGAACAAGTCACTTCAACACTTCACACACTGCAACACATTTTGCCTTTGAGACCGCAAAATGCTATGTGCTAACCACTAGCCTTCAACGCTAATAGCTTAGCTTGGCTATTTGTTTACAAACAGCTAACAAAATGGCGCTGGCGGACTGAAAGTTACCTCCGGAAAGGGTTTCTTAGAACTTCCGGGCTACGGCTTTTACTATGGTTACTTGTCCTGCGATCACACACAGTTGCTGGTTATACATAGTTTACGCCCTTCAAGTGGGAATGACGGCGCATTCCACACTGAACAACCAAAGAGCACTCTTTAGATTCTTATCTCACAGCGCTGTGTAACACTCACTCGTTAGAGTGAGGTAAATTAATGTACAGCTTTACTGCAATAAATTCAATGACATCTTCAGCAGATGTCAGCAGCTGATTGGCATGTCACCATATTCTAATTTGTTGAGATAGTGAATTGGTGGGGTTTTGTTAAATGTGAGCCAAAATCATCACAATTAAAAGAACCAAAGACTTAAACTACTTCAGTCTGTGTGCAATTAATTTATTTAATACACGAGATTCACAATTTGAGCTGAATTACTGAAATAAATTAACTTTTCCACGACATTCTAATTTATTGAGATGCACCTGTACAGACAAAAACACGATATATTTTATAACACGAAAAACACTTGATCAAGATTTCATAATTCTCCCAAAAGTAAGCTCTCTGAGCACCGCGTTTCAAGTTCACTAGTTTTTTTGTGAATTAAATGGCAAGAGCATTAATTAGCTAGGTTAATGGTCTGAAGCCGGGAGATTTATTTATCATAGACTCATTTGGAGATGGAACACGCACCAACAAATTGACTATGAAGGCCTTTTTAGAGAAAGTAAACGAGGAAAACGCCTGTTTCTTCCTTCGTGTGCTTTAGAGCGACTTCTTTTGTCTCGGTGGACAAAATTTAAATGTTTTTTTTTTCTCTATTGCAGTTAAATTCTAAACAACAAACCCTCCAGTTTCACTTTCAATCAACACGCTCTGCCATGCTATAATAACATATCCAGTAACACAACAAACTCAGTTTCTTTGTCTTTTAATCTATTTTTTTCGGATAAAAATAGACAAGATTCATAATATTATTTTGGTATCATTAATTTTCAGTCAAATCTGCCTGCATTCTCCACCATATGTAATCACTTTGATTACTTAATTTTAGGGAATTAATTATTATTAATTCATTCAGGGTTTGAAAGGACTCGGATCTGAAAATTCGAAGTCCACCTGATTAGAACTGATTTAAAATTTCAATAGTTTACACCTTATCAACGGTCGTCCAGTGAGACGTTAATATCAGTGTATCTTAATCTGACTGTGTATTTTCCTTGGCCACAGGATAATACGTTCTTTGACAATTTAAGCTACGAGCTAGGTAACATGATCTTTGGCAAGGGTTTGACTTGAAAGTTATACGACACCAGACAATGATTCTTTATAAATGAAACACAAATTTTATTGGCTATTCTAGATTACATCAAAACTAACCTAAAACACACACGCACACACGCACACACACACATATACAGCTCAGAAAATTGAAGGAATGAGTTAATGGAGTTGCATGAAGTTTCAAAGTTTCGAACTCGTTTTCACGAGTGGTTTTAAATTCAGCCTGAGATAATTCACAAAGCAGATATTTTGTCTTGAGTTTACTGCTTAAATCAATCATCAGCGTCAGTTCAGCAGATAGAAGATTTTGTTTGTTTACTTGCGTTTTGCTTTGGGTGACAGCTGAAAAGCTGAGTTGTTCCTCGTGGCTACTGGAGGGGATTCCGTTGCTGACAACAGGCTTCCTGGATGGCTGCTGCGGTGACGTCAGGAGGATGTCCCTTTTGGGAGATCCCTCGTTGGATTGGTTGCGTTCTTGATGACGTAGAGGCTTGAGCAGTTCTGCTGAAAAGTCTGAGTTTGCAAGGCTTTAAGTTCTTTGAAGATCGCGAAGTGTCAACTGAAGTGTTTGAGTTCTGGAGTCTCGCTTGTGCGGTGTTACGGCATGGGAGCACTTGTAGCGCTCACCAAATTGAAAGCAAAAGGTCTTGAGAGAGAGCGAGCGAGCCCGAGAGAGCTTTGTATTCCTTTTAAGCAGGCTCGATGTTGGTCCATCCCATACGCGATTGTCCAATCGATGGTGGCTGCGGGGCTTAGCCACACCCTGTGTGGTTCCTTTTTTTTCATGCACAAGTCACATGCCCCTGTGGGGCGTACTTCTGGAAGTTTTAAATAACTTCTGATAAAAGTATTATCACCAGAGAATGATACAGAATATAAAATTTTCACTAACACCAATGTTCGGCGAATAAAGCAAGCTTTCATTCAAGCTCAATATCGAATAGTTTGCATACACATTAATAAATTTAATTACTAAAAGGTGTTTATACACATTGGTTAAACTTGCACCGATTACAGGAAACACATCACACATCATCAGACATAAACATATTATTTGTGAATATATTGCTCCGATACTTTCAATGATTTTCACTGATTGTCTTATGAATTGTCTGTGTATGTTCTGTTTCTTTGTCTGTGACAAAAGAATGTAAGGGTTTCAGGAAGCAGATGTTCAAAAAGTCATATGGCGTCACGCTGTATATCCCGTGCTTGCAGGGCGTGATTAAATTACTGTCCTTTTCCTGTTTGGATATAATAGTTCCATTCATTGGTGGTCACAAGACATTGTGGTTTCTATATGTTGTGAACGAACCTTCCAGTTTGTTGTGAACGAAACTTCCAGTTCTGATACCAAGAAAGCTTTGTTGTCTCTTGATTGAATTAGTCTTTAATCAGTCCTCTGAGTAGATGACAACAAGACTGGCAGGAAGTCGACCCAGAATATTGGAGTCATGTGCTGGGGTGATTAGCAAACCTCATGATGGCTGATAGGGGCATAGCAGTGTCCGTTCATGTACTAGAAATCCCTACAGAAGTGTCCCCAACTAAGCAACCCAGAGGCGACAGCTTAATCTAGATTTAAACTGCAAGAGTGTGTCTGCCTCCCGAACAATGTTAGGTAGGTTATTCCAGAGTTTGGGCGCTAAATAGTCAAGTCAAGTTTATTTGTATGGCGCTTTTCACCATACAAATCATTGCAAAGCAACTTCACAGCCAATTAAGTTTCTACAATATTTAGTGGTAGCTTATCAGTGGTGACTGTCAGTTAATGTACATATGGCAGA